AAAATTTAAAAGGGAAAATTAAAAAAAAAAAGGGAAAAAATATTTCCCCCAATCCAAAAGGGTTTAAACCCCCCTTCTAGAATTAAAAGGGCTTCCTTTTTTAAAATTCCCCCGAAAAAAAAACCCAAAAAAAACCCTTAAAAATTCCCCAACTTTCCCCATTGTTGCCAAACCCCCCCCCCCCCCCCCCCCCCCCCCCCCCCCCCCCCCCCCCCCCCCCCCCCCAAAAAAAAAAAAAAAAAAAAAAAAAAAAAAAAAAAAAAAAAAAAAAAAAAAAAAAAAATGCCCTTTTCGTTTAAAAAAAGACTACTAAAATCCTTAAAACCCCAAATCCGACTTCGGCGATGTCATTTACAAAATAGTCTCCAACACTCTACTCAGCAAATTGGATGTAGTCTATCACAGTGCCATCCATTTTGTCACCAAAGCCCCATATACTACCCACCACTGTGACCTGTTCGCTCTTGTTGGCTGGGCCTCACTACATATTAGTCGCCAAACCCACTGGCTCCAGGCCATCTATATATCACTGATAGGCAAATCCCCGCCTTATCTTAGCTCATTGGTCACCATAGCAACACCCACCCGTAGTATGTGCTCCAGCAGGTATATCTCACTGGTCATCCCCAAAGCCAACACCTCCTTTGGCCGCCATTCCTTCCAGTTCTCTGCTGCCAATGACTGGAACGAATTGCAAAAATCTCTGAAGCTGGAGACTCTTATCTCCCTCACTAACTTTAAGCATCAGTTGTCAGAGCACCTTACCGATCACTGCACCTGTACACAGCCCATCTGAAATTAGCCCACCCAACTACCTCATCCCCATATTGTTATTTATTTTGCTCATTTGCACCCCAGTATCTCTATTTGCACATAATCTCTTGCACATCTATCATTCCAGTGTTAATACTAATTGTAATTATTTTGCACTATAGCCAATTTATTGCCTTACCTCCATAACTTGCTACATTTGCACACACTGTATATACACTGCTCAAAGAAATAAAGGGAACACTAAAATAACACATCCTAGATCTGAATGAATGAAATAATCTTATTAAATACTTTTTTCTTTACATAGTTGAATGTGCTGACAACAAAATCACACAAAAATTATCAATGGAAATCAAATGTATCAACCCATGGAGGTCTGGATTTGGAGTCACCCTCAAAATTAAAGTGGAAAACCACACTACAGGCTGATCCAAAATGAGGCTCAGTAGTGTGTGTGGCCTCCACGTGCCTGTATGACCTCCCTACAATGCCTGGGCATGCTCCTGATGAGGTGGCGGATGGTCTCCTGAGGGATCTCCTCCCAGACCTGGACTAAAGCATCCGCCAACTCCTGGACAGTCTGTGGTGCAACGTGGCGTTGGTGGATGGAGCGAGACATGATGTCCCAGATGTGCTCAATTGGATTCAGGTCTGGGGAACGGGCGGGCCAGTCCATAGCATCAATGCCTTCCTCTTGCAGGAACTGCTGACACACTCCAGCCACATGAGGTCTAGCATTGTCTTGCATTAGGAGGAACCCAGTGCCAGCTGCACCAGCATGTGGTCTCACAAGGGGTCTGAGGATCTCATCTCGGTACCTAATGGCAGTCAGGCTACCTCTGGCGAGCACATGGAGGGCTGTGCGGCCCCCCAAAGAAATGCCACCCCACACCATGACTGACCCACCGCCAAACCGGTCATGCTGGAGGATGTTGCAGGCAGCAGAACGTTCTCCAAGGTGTCTCCAGACTCTGTCACGTCTGTCACATGTGCTCAGTGTGAACCTGCTTTCATCTGTGAAGAGCACAGGGCGCCAGTGGCGAATTTGCCAATCTTGGTGTTCTCTGGCAAATGCCAAACGTCCTGCACGGTGTTGGGCTGTAAGCACAACCCCCCACCTGTGGACGTCGGTCCCTCATACCACCCTCATGGAGTCTGTTTCTGACCGTTTGAGCAGACACATGCACATTTGTGGCCTGCTGGAGGTAATTTTTTAGGGCTCTGGCAGTGCTCCTCCTGCTCCTTCTTGCACAAAGGCGGAGGTAGCGGTCCTGCTACTGGGTTGTTGCCCTCCTACGGCCTCCTACACGTCTCCTGATGTACTGCCCTGTCTCCTGGTAGCGCCTTCATGCTCTGGACACTACGCTGACAGACACAGCAAACCTTCTTGCCACAGCTCGCATTGATGTGCCATCCTGGATGAGCTGCACTACCTGAGCCACTTGTGTGGGTTGTAGACTCCGTCTCATGCTACCACTAGAGTGAAAGCACCGCCAGCATTCAAAAGTGACCAAAACATCAGCCAGGAAGCATAGGAACTGAGAAGTGGTCTGTGGTCACCACCTGCATAACCACTTCTTTATTGGGGGTGTCTTGCTAATTGCCTATAATTTCCACCTGTTGTCTATTCCATTTGCACAACAGCATGTGAAATTTATTGTCAATCAGTGTTGCTTCCTAAGTGGACAGTTTGATTTCACAGAAGTGTGATTGACTTGGAGTTACATTGTGTTGTTTAAGTGTTCCCTTAATTGTTTTGAGCAGTGTACATATGGCAGCAGTACTGGGTGGTAGCTGGCTAGTGACGTTGTCTAAGGTTCAGGGCAGGGTACTGAGCGGAGGCCGGTTAACCATCAAGGGAATCATTAACTCACCTACCATCAGTCAGAGACAAAATATGGGAAGTCGTGATGGCAAAAATAAAGAAATCATTTTAGATGTCTCTGAAGGAGACCTTAGTCTCTGAAGGAGGGGGGTTATCTGACATGAACGAGCAAGAATTGTCAAACTACGCAAGTAAGTGATTTGGAGTTTAGATATTAAAAGTATCATATGCAATGCTAACTTTCTAGTGATAATAAAATGTTCCTTATTCCTTCAGGTCCAGCACTGCGAGGAGGGGATGGGGATGTGTCACGCCCTGACTCAGGGGACGCTTAAATGTTGAGTCAGGGTGTGTATATTCTTTGTTGTGCGTTTTCTATGTTTACTATCTAGTATGTGTATTTCTATGTTGGCAGGTGAGGTTCCCAATGAGGCAGCTGTCGCTCGTTGTCTCTGATTGGGGACCATACTTAGGCAGCCTATGGGCACTATTGAGTTGTGGGATCTTGCTCCGTGTAAGGTATGTTGTGTGTGCTACCTTGGACTTCACGTTTCGTTTCATTTGTTGTTTTGTCGTGGTGTTTATCAGTTAATAAACATGTACATATATCACGCTGCACCTTGGTCTGTCACGTTCGTCTAATGACGGGACAGACCAAGGCGCAGCGTGATATACGTACATGTTTATTAACTGATAAACACCACGACAAAACAACAAATGAAACGAAACGTGAAGTCCAAGGTAGCACACACAACATACCTTACACGGAGCAAGATCCCACAACCCAATAGTGCCCTTAGGTTGCCTAAGTATGGTCCCCAATCAGAGACAACGAGCGACAGCTGCCTCTGATTGGGAACCACACCGGCCAACATAGAAATACACATACTAGATAATAAACATAGAAAACGCACAACAAAGAATATACACACCCTGACTCAACATTTAAGCGTCCCCTGAGTCAGGGCGTGACAGGGAGTGAAAAATTACCACACCGTTTTCTTATTAATTGCATTTGGCTTGGAGGTAGGCTACAAATATAGATTCTGTATACAGTAAAAAATAATGTATTTATTTATTATTGATTCACTCATTTGCTCACAAGAAAATACAAAACAATGTGATGAGTGCAGTGGCAGTCTGTGCCGTTTATGAACATGGCCTTATTTCTATTACAGCATATTGGATGACTGTCATTCACATTCCATTCACCCAGCTCAATGTAACATCGATTGGTTTAGGCTACTACATTATGCTCAAGTTTTCCCTGTACCCATCATGAGGTTGATACAACCTAGCCTAGGAATTCATGTTTACAACATAGGTGCACAGGTTGAGAGAATTTTGAGTAATCAAGGTGACAGACAGTGACACAGTCAATACCGCTTTGCACACTCTTGCCTGCATTTAGCTGATCTAGAGTATAATCATTAGTCCAACAGTTGCAAACGAGAGTTTCTATTGGACCAATTCAGGTATGTTTATACCCGTTTGCTTCCATTTAAGAAACGTTTTTCAATAGAATCGGCGCAATGAATACATTTACAATTTAGTCATTTTGCAGACGCTCTTATCCAGAGCGACTTACAGTTAGTGAGTGCATACATTATTTTTATTTTTTCATACTAGCCCCCCGTGGGAATCAAACCCACAACCCCGGCGTTGCAAACGCCATGCTCTACCAACTGAGCTACATCCCTGCCGGCCCTTCCCTCCCCTACCCTGGGCCAATTGTGCGCCGCCCCATGGGTCTCCCGGTCGCGGCCGGCTACGACAGAGCCTGGATTCGAACCAGGATCTCTAGTGGCACAGCTAGCACTTCGATGCAGTGCCTTAGGCCACTGCACCAATCGGGAGATACACACCTGATCACACGCAAACACAGTTAACCTTCATACCAGCCACATACAAACAGTTCATTTTATATACAATTCCTTCTCTATCTACGCGCTCTACTCCTCTCACCTTTTCCCTTTGTTTGTGGACTTCAGTGCACAACACATCAGCTGTCTGTGATCAGGCGAAAAAAACTTTCCAAGCCTAACCTTCATATCATGACTACTAACCTCACACAGCCTACATCGTTGTCACGTCATAGTCAACATAGCTGCTAGAACCAACGCGTTAGTAAACCCGCTACAATCATGGACTACAGTGTACAGTCAGCAGCAAGCAGTTAGCATTTACACCGGCGGGCCCTGGTGGCTTTAAATTAATAAAACCAAAAGCTTACCTTGACTTGGAAGATATCCAGCCTTGGATAGCCAGCTAGCTAACATAGCATCCCTTTCTGTTTGAGCCGGGTGTTTGAGTTGGCTAAACTAAGTAGCTGCATTTCATTCTTATACTCATATTCCTTGACCGTGTCCAACACCTCTGACTAACATTTCCCCCACTGCTATTTGAGTGATGGGAGTTGATGCCTCGTCATTGGACTGCTGAGGTGCCCAGCTCAGTCTTCGGCCTACAGGGCTCATGCATCGTGATTCCCTGCTCATTCAACTACCCAGAACCAAAGATAAAGCCCTCTGAACTCACTGGCATCTGGTTCAAAGGCGCTTATGAGGTTATATACCACCCAGACAGCTCCAGCATCATCAAAGACTACAGGGGTCGTACAGAGCTGGTGGGAGACCTCCGGCAGAAGAACTGCTCACTCAGAATCGACCCCCTCCATCACAGTGACAAAGGACCATTTACTTTCAGGCTTGAAATCAAAGACCATAGCAAAGCTTCATACAAAGATGACACAGTCTCCATTGCAGTGAGCAGTAAGTTTCCTGTGGAAAATTGACAAGGAGAATTTCAAATGTATTAATTATAGTATCCTATTTAACCTAACGTTATCTTATTAGCTATAGCTTCTTGTTGATTATAATTGTAATGGTACAGAAAGGACAGACCCAAGAATAAGTGGAAGCACACTGCTATAACTGTTGTCATCTCTTAATTTCAGGCTCTCCAGACCCCCCCTCTCTGTCAGTGAGGGAGGAGGTGAAGGTGGGGGAGGAGGTATCTGCCTCCTGCTCTGTGTCTCACTCCTGCCCATCTGATCCCCCTCTCCTCACCTGGAGCCACTCTGGAACACCCAGCATCCAATCACAACAGCAGACCAACGGCCAGTGGGAAGAGACATCATCCATGACTATTAGATCCACCATCGCTGATAACAACCAGCCTCTGGTCTGCACAGCAGCATACAGGGGAGGGAAGACAGTGAGCAGCTCCAAAACGCTAAATGTAAAATGTAAGTGGTCCACACCTGTTAACAACACTGTTTGGAAGATTTTCACTTTCACTTCTGTGAAAACAGAATATTTCTGTAAATATGAGGAAAGTGATACTAGAATTAAACTTACATGATACGGAACCTAAAACTTTGTCCATTCTTAACCTTGCATGTGGTTGATCCACTGAATCTGTCCTAAGATGTTTATTACATAGTAATAGAATTCTTGCTAATGATGTTATTCATAGATGCCCCAGTGGATGTGAAGGTTGAGGGAGTGTCCAGTGTGAAGGAGGGAGACTCTGTAGAGCTGAGATGCTCCAGTGATAGTAACCCTGCTGCCCACAGCTACCGCTGGCACAACAGCAGAGGGCCTCTGCCCACCATGGGACCTACCATCACACTGGAGAGAGTGACCAGACTCACTGAAGCCCTCTACTGCACTGCATCAACACAGAGGGACAAGGCCAATCCAGCTCACTGAAGCTCAGTGTAGAGTGTAAGTAGATCCAGAGTTAGTTGATTCATCCACATGTTGTCACTAAGAGGCATGTCATGTCTGTGTATATAATATTAAGACAATGCTCTTGAGGATGTAGTTAGCACTACATGTTCAGTTGAAACAACTGTTCATCATTCTCATCCCAGACCCCCCTGTGATCAAAGTGGACTCTGCCTGCACTTCAGACAGCTCCATGATAACCTGTCTGTGCATTGTGGATTCGGAGCCCCCCGGCACTGTGGAGTGGTCTCTTCCAGCAGGACCCCTGCCCAGTACCAGGGTGGAGATGCATGGGTCAGTTGCCATGGTGACCCTACAGAGGGCACTAGGCTTCTCAGAGACCATCCACTGCAATGCCAGCAACACACAGGGCAATGCCACCTTGTCCTTCACTGTACCCACAAATGGTAAGTGAAACAGTGGAGGGAAGTGTATCAATAATTAATTATTATTATGCTATATTTATATCATAAGGAATAGTATGGGTACATTGAATAAATCATATTCATCTGTTTTTGGACAGATAAGATATTCATGCTGTACGTTTCAATTGCTATTGCTGCATTAGTGGTGGTAGTAATACTAATTATCATGTCAGCTTGCCTGTTGACCAAGAAGGGGTAAGTTACTATTTTATTTATTTTTGGAGGGAGTTATGTAGATTTGTGTTTGTTGATAGCTGTTTTGTTCTGTTTTGATATCTTGGCATTTTTCTCGTCAGTGGGAAGAGTCATGGTATCCAGCCAGTAACCAGTATGTAGGACATGGATGCAGCAAAGTGTGCTTCCTCAGATCCCTCACCATCAAGGTATTTTTCTACAGGCTGTTCTATCTGTGATCATAATGTATACATCCTGCGGAGTTGCTAAAGACCATTAGCCTACATTCACTCTTGTTGTTTTTTATCAAATGAAGAGAATGCATCACATAGTGGCCCTAACTCTATCCACAGGAAAGAGCAGAAAGACTCCAGCAGTGAAATCCACACAAACTACTACACCAACGATCAGCTATATGGCAACATGGAGGTACTGTATGTACTGTAGACAGAGTGTGAATTACACCATGACATTCAGGGGGTTCTCTATTGAGTGCATTCGCTTGCCCGTGCACAGTCTTTTTCAATTAATAATAAAGACGTAATTTAAACAGTCAAAATGTATTACCTTTCAATGTGGCATGAACACAACCAGTCATGATATTTTCATCTGATTGTCAAACAAATCACTTCAAAAAGTAAGCTACCTGTGCATGTTGGTCCACTAAAAAAATAATTACAGCATCCAAACTATATGTAGTCTATAATTGCCCCATTTGATGAATGGAAATATACATCTCTTACAAAACACCAAAAAGTTTGCCATTGATTAGGACTACATTAATAGAAAAACGGGATGGTCACCCTAACATCAGTTGTGGTCAGTACCATTTAAGATGAGGGAGGACGATTGTTTAATTTTATTCGAACATGGTCTTATTTCTATTACAGTATATTGGATGACTGTCATTCATAGTCCATTCACCGAGCTCAATGTAACATCGATGTGTTTAGGCTACTACATGATACTCAAATTTTCCCTATACCCAACATGAGGTTGCTATAACCTAGCCTATGAATGAAAGTTTACAACGTAGCTGCACAGGTCGAGATAAAAATGTGAGTAATCAAGGTGACAGACATTGACACATGCAACACCGCCATGCACACTTGCCTGCATCTAGCTGATCAAAGGTATAATCATTAGTCCAGCAGTTGCAAACAAGAGTTTCTACTGGACAAATTCAGGTATGTTTATCCCTGTTTCGTTCCGTTTGCTTCCATTTAAGAAATGTTTTTCAACATTACGGGCAGAATGAATACACCCCTGATCACCGCAAACACAGTTCACTTTCATAGCAGCCACATACAAACAGCATGATCATTTGCTCATTATATATTTCCTTCTCGCATCTACGCGCTCTCCTCCTCTCACCTTTTCCCTTCGCTTGTGAACTTCAGTACACAATACAACAGCTGTGTGTGACCAGGTGAAAAAAACATTTCCAAGCCAAACCTTCATACCATAACCGCTACACACAGCCTACATCGTTGTCACCATATTAGCTAACATCATAGTTAACATAGCTAACATTAGCTACTAGAACTAACGTGTTAATAAACCCACTACAATTATGCAGTACAATGTAAATCAAGCAGTTTAGCAGTTACACCGGCGGGCCCCAGTGGCAATAAATTAATAAAACCAAAAGCTTACCTTGACTTGGAAGAGTTCCAGTGTTGGATAGCCATAGCCAGCTGGCTAACATAGCATCCCTCTCTGTTTGAGCCAGGTGTTTGAGTAGGCTAAACTAGCTAGTGTTGTGTCGAGCAAACGTTGCTAATTATGCTGTGTGACCAAGGAGAACCCGCTGACGCTGTATTTTCATCATAAAGGTTTATTCATAACAAAGGGTTACAGCGTCGATTTACAGATACCTGCAGATACCTGGAGAATAATCGCCCCCATCTCAAATCTGATTATTCTGTCGTCCTTTGTCCCAACTGTGGTATATATCCTATGTAATCTGATATGGGTGTTCCCCTACAGACCAATCCCAGGAGGACACCTAACAGACTTCCTCTGCTTTAGGGTGCCCCTCTAAAACTGCTCCCCAGATGCTCCCTCTAAGCTGAATAAACCTCCTCTCAGGTTCCATTTGAAAACGTTAGCAAAGTCATAATTCCTCAGATACTACATATTCCCCCCTTCGAGACAAATTAAGTCAAAAATAATAGGATTATGACAAGTAACAATTTATCTTATTGAGTACCTTTAACTATAAACCAAAAACACATTTTTCTATGGAGTGTAAATACATTTCTATGAAATATGAACAAATCTCTATGGAGTGTGAATACATTTCTATTAAATATGAACAAATCTTTATGGAGTGTGAGAGCGAAAAACCTGTCTGGCAGCCTTCTTTCCAAATATCCATCCATCAATCAAGACAGTAAAATTCTCTCACGGCCCCTCTGCCCCAGGCAACCACTTAAGTATTCCAGATCAATTCATAAATCTTTATCAATGCATTTGAAACTATGATGCAATTAAATACACATGAAAGCCTCAGCAAACAAAATACAATCCAAAATGTCCACACTCAGGCTGGTCGACCCATCGGACCCTCCTGTGGATTCTCTCTATCCCTGCCTAGACCCAATATCCCTAAGCTTCCACGAAATAAACAAAAACATCTGAGATCCCCACATGTACCCAATAACAGCAAATATCATTCTACAAAAATTAATACAGAAAGAATATGACACAAATTATGTATTACACATGCAAATATGTCTATATATCATTGCAGACACTGGAATGTAGTCCACTACACTTCATCTCCTCAGCAGTGTCGACTTCCAATGCATCGTCGATGATGGAATCGGAACATTTCCACACCTTCCTTGTTCCACTTCCTCCAGTCCATTCATATTCTCCTTTCACATTGTCCCTTCATATTGTCCTTGTTTGAGTATTTGAATCTCTACATATTCCCCCATATGCTTCAGGAAGAAAAGAAAAGACCAAACAGTATATTTTGCAAAACAACACATTCAAATTAAAACATCAATATCAACTAAGAATATAAAAATGATATATAAATGAATCACATTCTATTTACCCCATTTGATTCATAACAAAATACTAACTATCACCATAATATTTAAAACCCCTTTGAAAAATACAAAATTGATATCTATCTATCAATACTCCTTTGAGTCTTGACAGAAGGTTAAACCCTCTTATCGTTTCATTCGCAAAACCCTTCAAATTATAGGTATTATTATCTATGTTATCTTCCCAAATTTTACACCACACCATGGAAAAAATCCCCACTTGTCTCTTAGACTTGGTAGGCTTCTCTCTTTCAGAATCAGATTTATCTATGTCCCTTTCTTCCCCTCTTTTAATTTTAAAACCTCATATGGAAGCTTCAACTTCAACATGTAACAACATCCTATCCATCCATAGGGTAAGAATATATTCTCTCTCACCACACAAACCCCTAATGTTTCTCTAAAATCCCCAATAGTCACATTACCATTCAAAAACGTCTCTCCACATGAGAGGAATCTCACCTCTACACATTCCTTCTCTCACATCTACAAGGAAGATGAGCTGTATCACTCATCCTAACCCTAATGACAGTCTTTTCCTCTAAAATTGGTGCTGGAGCGATTGGCTCCCTTGTAATCAAATGTGATATATGTATAGCTTTAATAACTGTCAATGTTGAAAGAGTTAAATTGCTTCTCACTGTTGTTATAATATGCTGATGTGTTGATGTCATTGTTGTTAAGTCATCCATTCTCCCTAAGGCTTTGAACTCTTTTCTTGTATTTCCATCTATCACCACTAGTGTCACTACATTAACTCTCAGTCCCAACTCTAATCCCTCACTTTCAAACTGTTGATTATAAAAAATACACTTATAATCACCTTCATCTTCCTGCTGGGAATTGTAAATATAGCTACTGCAATCACCCTCAATCTTCTCTTATCATTCAGCAACGCATACTTTCTCAATGCATCTGCTCCTTACAGATCTAAACTCCTACCATATCTATCTTCCCACTGAACTCTAAATGTTCCTTCACCACTGTTCTCTCTCTCTTACTACTAACATTGAAGCTTAGCTGACTGTCCTAGAGTTCCTTCAACCCTAGTTTTCATAACTTTTTAATCTGACTTTTTCTCCTAACTTTTTCAAAAACCATTTCACTGAGTTATCCACAAATTCCTTTCCCTCTAATTTTAGAAAAACCATTTCACTGATTTATTCACAAAATCCTTTCCCACTAATTTTAGGATGTGTGATCGGGAAGTCCCCACCTGCTTATGACTTCTTTACACACAGACTTGGCAAACGATTGAGCATCTTTTAGCCTAGTTTGACATCTTATTCACCTCTTGGTGTAGGAATGTAACCAAGAATAACAGTCACCCCCCTTTTAACATTATTTTTCAGACAGATTGTCCTCCTGCCTATTATATAGTCAATCTTTTTAAGCCAATATGGTTCCCAAAAACCATACTCTTTTATAATCTTTCTCCTAACCTTATCCTTCTTTAAAGAATCTTCACTGAGATTTCCCATCCAGAATACTGTAGACAAATCCATCTCTGTCATCATCAACCATTGGTAAACCTTTTCCTTTGGCACTTCTACCAGACAGCCATCTGGTGTACATCTTATTGTACAGTTCAACTTACACAATGCATCTCTTCCCAACAATGCAATAGGTATATGTTCTGATACCAGTATGGGTATTTTAATTTTCTGATTTTCTCATAGCAGATCTCAATTGGTTCCTTAAGAGTAATCAGCTGTTTTACTCCCTTGAATCCCTATCCTAATTAGTCAATTTTACATAGTGAGATGTGTAACCTCTTCAGGCTAAACACAGATAAAAGCTGTTCCGCTATTCACCATCACTTCTCATGGTCCTTTGTTTTCACTTCAATTGTTGGATCTTTTCCCCTAATTGGTGCTACCAGCTGACACCCCCCCTTTCGGATCTTCTAGGCACCCCTAGAATCCTTGCTCCTTGTCCCTATAAGGGTTCACCTGTCCTCCAGATGATCTTCACTTGCTCCTGTATCTTCCTCTGAAATTCCCTCTTGTGTTTCCTTCTGGCCCATTGCACTCACAGCAAAGTCACCAACCTGTCCACAATCATAACACACTTCTCAAGATTGTTGAAAGTATGGCTTTAATCTTCCTCCTCTTCCTCTTTCTAAGCCTTCTCGTCCTCTTCCTCTCCAATTCTTTCACAGTCCAGAAACTATCTATGGATATGAAACAACTTGTACCACTAGTTGTGGCTGGTACAATTGCATTTGACCTTGTTCAGTTGAAGCTGTGGCAGTGATTGTTGATTTGGTTCACACTAATTCTTCATAACCAAAGCTTTTCTTCTCCTTCTTCTTCTCCCCCCAGTTGTATTTCATCAAGTTTTCTGAGAGTTTCTTGGTCCTGTTCTTTCTAGTTGTTGACATATCGGTATTCTTC